AGAGTTCCTGTTGTTCCACATCCATTCCAGCTAAAAGTACTTCTGAAAAAACATTTTATAATATTTTCAACTTAAACGTTATTCATGGTGAACACACATGACAATGTGCCCTACTCAAATGTGAAGTTTAAGAAACCAAAATAATTCTCCATTTATTCTGTTGTAAATTACTGTCATGGTGGTAAACAAAGCAAAAATAAAGCAGCACTACAAGCATAACATTACAGTCTCTTGATCAATTGGATTATGGGTTGGTCAAACATCAGAATCCACACACGCATAGAAGCAATGTAGGAACTCAAAAGACTGTGCTGTCCTCAAGTCACGTACTTCCTCAGTAACATAAGGAGCTTAAAGTACACAAGCAGCAAAATTCAGTATTTCTGACATGTTAACATACCAGTAAATCCAGGGCTAGTTCTCATCTGTGTCAGCTATCTGTTACTATAACAAAGTAATTGAGGCAATCAACTTGTAAAAAGAAAAGGTTTATATTGCCTCATAGTTTTGGAGGTTTCAGTCCATGATCAATTGGCCCCATTGCTTTTGAACTTTTGGAGAGGCAGAATATCATGGTAGGAGTGCATGGTCTAGGAAAAATCACTCATCACGTGGATGGATTATGAAAAGAAGTGAAAAAGGAGGCTGGGTTCCCATAATTCCTTGAGAGCATGCCCCTAATGACCTCAAGACTGCTCACTTGGACCCATGCTTTAAAGTTTCTACCATCTCCAAATAGCACCACCTGAGAATTAAACTTTCAGTATATAAGCCACTAAGGGGGCACTTAGGATCAACTCTGTAGCGTCATCTGATCACTCTCTTATTTTTATTTTAAAGAGAAAAAATAACAACAAAGACAAAAGCAAAACAATGCAAAAACAATAAAAACAATACAAGATTTCAAAACAAGATGATAGGAATTAAAAATGGTTATTATATTACATATTATTATCTTCAACGAAGTTGTTCAGATTACCAGATGTAAGAATGTAAGAGTGATCAAACAATTAAAGAGAATAAAAAGTAATAAAAAAATTAGAAATGATACAGAGCTTCATTAAGCAAGATGGTAGGAATTCAACAATGGTTGTTATATTGCATAGTGTTGCCTTCAAATTAGTTGTTTAGATTACCAGATACAAGCA